AATGTAACTGTACTGTATCCCTAAAACGTACCAATAAACTCAATTAAAGCTGAAAAAAAAAATAATAGGCTAGGAAAAACCAAGAAAGCAAGTAAGTACAAAATTTTCAGAGCTTTTATTTAAGTTAGCCTTAAGAAACCTTGCTGAAAATAAGGGCTTTATCAATAAAAATAAAAATTGCTTAGTAAACATAATCATAATCACTGTGTGAAATGGCTGATTTTCTAGAAGACAAGTAATTTACTTAGTATTCCTATGCGAGAGATGGTCTTAAAATTTTGCATTTACAAAGTTTAAAATTCTCTCTCTCTAAAAAAACACACATCTGAAAGGCCACGTTGAAGCAGTATCTTTAGACTCATACAATCTTAAAATCTGAAAGGACTTTAGAAATAGTTTCACATGCTGAAAGCATTATCAAATTTCTTTAGCTGGAAACAGAGCCACAAATGCTGTGCCTCTTCTACACGCTCATCCCGCCTAACAATCTAAGTCACTCCTGCTGAGACAGTGACAGACTGATGCAGGCAGTTCATTAGAGAGACAACTCCAACAGGCTGGCATGACCTGTAAATCTCGGTCCTTCAGAGGAACACACAAAAGAAATAAAAACGTAGCTCAGTGGTTCCACTGCCTGCCTCACAAGTGCAAGGTCCCAAGTTCGATCCCCGGTACCCAAAAAATAAATAAAAACAGTGGGGATCTAGAAGTGCCAGAGAGAGCACGGCACAGACATACCAGGGCAGGCACAGTGAACACGTCTTGTCCGCCCTCCACATCCTGCCCAGCTCACTGCACGCTTGGAATTCACCAGTTTGTAAGCTCTGGGCTCAGGCTCTCACACATGGCTTTACACAGGCTTAAAATGGGGTGGGAACTCTGACTGCCCCTAACTTCTGCACAGCCTCCACTGCACACAATCACCACGGAAACAGCAGTGAGGACACTTTGCCTGAAGCCCTTCCTGATCAGCCATGGTTCTCCCTGAGGTCCCCCACCTTCTGTTTTCATAGTATCTTGGCATGGAAACAAAGTCATAAGGATTTCCAACTTAAGGGAATGGGAGACCTAAAGGAAGGTAAGTGGCAAGAATACTGTCCACAACACTAGCCTCATCACCAAAATAACCCCCATCTTAAAGGAAGACATAACTTTTCCAGAAATAAGACCAGACACTTCTAAGTGACATTCACTGGCCTGTCCTGAACTGACAGAAGTATAAAGGGAGCATGTAAGAGCACTGGAAATATTTCCTCTAAGTTCAAACTGCGAGTAATACATGCACCTCCTCAGCGAGCAGAGTCAGGCGATCACACACGTTACCTTCACGTCCTCAGCACTGGGATGTGGTGGCGTCTTCATCTGCACGACGGTGTAGAGAATGTCGTGGACGTGGTTGTTCAGGTACAGCACCGGGTTCGCGATGACCGTCTTCGTGGACGCGATGCTTGCCGACAGCAGCGGCAGGGTGGTGGGCAACGGCAGCGGAGACTGGAGCTGCTTCACTGTGGTTTCCTGCAGGTGACAGTTAGTTGTTCAAAACAGTGAAAGCAGTTCCCCGATAAAATACTGGTGACAAATACAGGAGTAAAAGCAACTGGCTGTTTTCCCTGTGCGCTCCACACACGCTTCCTGAGCAGCCAGTGCGCATCAGGCACTGTCAGACGGGGTGGGAGGGAAAACTGGGCTCCTCACTCTTAACCTCACTTGTCACGACCAAAACTTGTTTATACAAAAAACTACACAATACAAATACCTGATTCCTACGAACAGATCAACCCACAAGTCATTTCACAGCTCCAACTGGAAGACCTACTGAAATTACTAGGATAACCAAAGTCAAACTCAAAAAGATGCCCATACCTGCTGCGATTCCTGTAGCAAAAATTTGAGTTCCATTCTTACTGAGGCCAGGCCACCTCCTTGGGCCCCATGAAGGCTGCAGTAACTAAGAAACACTCTGAGGAGATCCTGGTTTTTCTGCAACCACAGCTTTCGTCTCTCTGCATGTTCTCGTTTAGCCTGCAATCTCCGTCTTTCTATTTGGTGACGCTCATAGGAACCAATATCTGGTCTGTCTACCATTTCCTCCTGGTTCAAAAAATCACTATCTACCCTGGAATACATTTCGCTGGCATATTCCTTAACAACTGCTTCATGATTACATATCTCATGCAAGGCAGCAATTTCCTTCTCAAGCCAGCTATAGAGCTGAAACCTGAGCTTCCCTCCATCTACTTCATAACCTGTAGCCAAAGTTCTCAGTTCAGTCATGAGGATCTTTAAACAAGCTCTGAACTTCAGTTGTTCAGCAATCACATCCACGTCAGCGTCCCCATCAGGACTATCCCCCTCCTGGGGGGTCAGCGACGGGGCAGGGCCTGTGGCCCTCTTCCCATCCCAGGCATCCTTCTCCCTGGCGTCTCTGCTCTTCATCACTAAGCCAGCAGTGTCTTCGTCCTCCTCTAAGGCACTGTCGTGATCTTCACCCCAGTCAAGGGTAAGCGGTTCGTCACCAACCTTGGCGACAGGCTGGCTCCAGTCAAACTGTGACGAGGTGACATCCGACCAGGCGGGGGCAGTACTCGCGCCGCTGTCACTCAGGGCTCCTGATTCTGAGGGCTCATCACCCATTGTTTTAGAAACAGGGCCAGCCTGGTCTTTTTTGGCAGGTAAGGCAGATACTTTGGTAACTTTGGGAATTTTAGAAAGTACCTCCAGAGCCAAAACTGGGCATCCAACTTTAAAATGAGCATTTGCAGTGGTAAAGAATAATTTTCTTTCAATGAGGTTGATTTTATCAGCAAAGTTTTTCTCAGTTTTCAGACCTAAGGTTGCCAAAGTTCCTTCAGGGGAGGCCAGGTTTCTTCGAATAAGCAAAGGATGTGTTCGAAGGTAGTTGTAAAAACTAAATACCACTGGGTTGCACGATTTGATAGTAACTACAGAAATCAAACAGATATAATCACAAGTTATTATGTTAATAAGTACTTACACTGCAAAAAGATAAAAGTATGTCAGCATTCCCACAAAATAAAAGATGCATAAATACTAACCTAGGATAGATTAGCTATGATACATTCATAGCATCATTTAAACTATACAGCTGAAATAATAATAATTGCCCTGCATGCTATGGAGCAAAGTCAAGAATACACTGAGTAAAAGAAGGTACAGAAAATACACTAACAGTAGAGCGAGTACAGACACATGCATTTTTGCTTGTATTTTTTCAATGGAAGGAAAACCCACAAAAGAATTCTCTAAAAGAGAGGTCAACAGGAAAAGACACCACAGAGAATGCTTTGGCCTGATATATTTAATTTCATGCCAACAGTTTACACAATTTTTAAAAAATTTAAATGTAAAAGAGTAATTCACAAAAGCCAAGATTAAGCAAATGAATCTGTGTGTGAAGCTGGTAGTAAAAGCAGACAAAGGTGAACTATGAAAAGTAAAACAAGAAATATAATTGTACATCTGTACAAGGATATACAATAAAAATAAAAATACCTGTAAAAAATTAAAGAAAAAAAAAAGCTTAACCTGTTCCCAGTCAGCATGTTTTTAGCACATCTGTGCTCTTATTCTGAAATAACTCTGTGTATATAAAATAGCAAATAATTATATTAATGACATATAAATCCAAGCTGTTCACAAGACACAAGTGTAAAGTGTAACAAAGATCTTATAATGTATATCTGAATTAGAATTTCCAAGGTATGCTCCTAAATTTTCAGGGGAAAAAAGTCCCAGCTACATTCACTGCAGTAGCCTAAAAATGACAACCAATCAGGAGAGGCTAGGATTCTGGTTAACAGGCCACAGTGTGTGAATTCCTCACAGCAGGATGCAGACCTCTTCAGAGGAATGGGTGTTTCCAGTCTGGTGCAAGAGAGGTGCAAGAGGAGTCTGAAACATTTTGCTGTCCAGAAAGCAGTGAAACTGGGGAAAAAAAAATCACACCGAAAGGGTCTAGGAACTTGAAGGGGTTCCCAACTGTTAAAGATGGGACAACCTGACCGTCTATAAAACCAACAGCAAATGACTGAAATACAAGTCTTATCTAAATCCATGAATACAAAATAACCTTTTTAAGAAGAGATAATCAGAGCCAGGCATGGTGGTGCACGCCTGTAATCTCAGCACTCAAGAAAGAGGCTGAGGCAGGAGTATCACTTTAAGTTCTACTAAGTTCGAGGCCAGCCTGGACTACATAGTCAGACCCTGTCTCAAAAAACAAAACTACAAGGGCTGGGGATTTAGCTCAGTGGTTCTGCTACCTGCTTTGCAAGCACAAGGGCCTGAGTTCAATCCCC